CCAGGTGAGTCACCTCTGCTAATTGTTACCGTCTGCCCAACTCTGTTCCTGTGCTTTTCACTGTGTGTGTGTGTGTGTGTGTCGCCCCCCGCCTCCCCCCTGCTCTTTTCACTTTGTTTGTGTCTCTCCCCCCACCCCACACCCCCGGACTATATTGCCCAGGCGGGTCTTGAACTCTTGGTCTCAAGCTATCCTCCCACCTCTGCCTCCCTAAGAGCTGGGATTACAGGGTGAGCCACCGCGCCCGGCCCTCTGAGGGGAGTTACACTTACTTTTTTATTTTTTATTTTTTCGTGCCTGCGCTTTTCACACGGAGAAAGGATGTAGCTTCCAACATTCCGAAGGTTAGTGTGAGGAGACAGCAATGGAATGGAAAGCTGGTTGGGGACGTGCCCCTGCCGCTCCAAAACTGAGAGGTCCCTCAACCTAGTGCTCAGTTAAAAGACATTGTAAGGGCCGGGAGCGGTGGCTCAGGCCTGTAATCCCAGCACTTTGGGAGGCCCAGGTGGGCGGGTCATGAGATGAAGAGATCGAGGCCATCCTGGCTACCACCGTGAAACCCGGTCTCTACTAAAAAGACAAAAAATTAGCCGGGCGTGGTAGCGGGAGCCTGTAGTCCCAGCTACTCAGGAGGCTGAGGCAGGAGAATGACTTGAACTCGGGAGGCAGAGTTTGCAGTGAGCGGAGATCGGGCCACTGTACTCCAGCCTGGGTGGCAGAGCAAGACTCCGTCTCAAAAAAAAGAAAAAAAAAAATTGTAAGGAAAGGGAAAAGACACTTACAATATTAAAAACAAACAAGAAAACAAACAAAAAACAGGCCGTGCCTGGCGGCTAACGCCTGTAGCACTTTGGGAGGCTGAGGCAGGCGGATCACCTGAGGTCAGGAGTTCAAGACCAGCCTGGCCAACGTGGTGAAAACCCTGTCTTTACTAAAAATACAAAAATTAGCCAGGCGTGGTAGTGCAACGCCTGTAGTCCCAGCCAGTCAGGAGACTGAGGCGGGAGAATTGCTGGAATCCAGGAGGCAGAGGTTGCAGTGAACCAAGATCACACCATTGCACTCCAGCCTGGGGAACAACAAAGA